TCGTCATCACTATCTGATAATACCAAGGAGGATGTTGGAGATGGCAAGAAGGCAAAGGACAAAGGCGGTGCCAAAAAGAAAAAGAGTGAGAGCGAATACAAGAAAGGGTTAAGACCTGTATTGTGGTTAACACCTGATTTCCCTCTCAAGACAGAAGAGCTTCTTCCGCTTCTCGACATATTAGCCAATAAGGTCAAAGCCGTGAGGAGACTCAGAGAGCTCCTTACCACAAAGCTTCCCACAGGAACATTCCCTGTCAAGGTAATTTCTTTTGCCTCTGTTATGGATTCTGTTTCAGCTAATCGTATGTTTTGCTTATCGGGGTCTCGTCTGCTCGCTATGCAGCTTGCGATCCCCATTATTCCAACCGTCCGTGTTCTTGTCACTTTTACTAAATTCGAAGAGCTCCAACCGTCCGAGGAATTCTCAACGCCTCCTTCTAGCCCGGTTTTCCATGATGCAAAGTCATCAGAAGGCCAATCATCAGCATCATGGATGTCGTGGATGAAAGGTACTCGTGGTGGTGGCCAATCAAGTGACAGCGACAGTAACCGTTACAAGGACAATGAAGCTGATCCTTTCATCATACCATCGGATTACACATGGGTCGACTCAGCTGAGAAGAAACGCCGAATGAAAGCCAAGAAAGCTCGAATCAGGAAGAACAGGAAACAAGGTGCTCCGAAGCCCGGCAACTCTGGTTCCCGTTCCAATCAAGAACCGGAACAATAACCGCCATCCTGAAGAACAGGATGTCACTTAGATGAGGAAAGGTTGGTTGTGTTATTGGTACTGATCTTGTAGTAATGTCATCTTATTTGTGAAATTCTTAAGGAACACGTTTGGTCTAAGGAACAGCCATTTTGCTCTGTAATCTTCAATTTTTCCCTCAAGGCCGTTTTTAAATCGGTTTAGTTGGTTTGTGAACCTAACTGTTATAAACCTTGCTTTATTATACTGAAAACTCTTTGTACAACAGATGAAGAAACAAGGAGGGGGTCTTAGAGCTGTAGTTTCTGTACATAGCCGGACGGGTAAAGTTACCAGAACCGGTCTTTATTAACACTGAGATAACCGGACATGACTTTACCACCAGTATTCCTCATACCATCGATGAGGAAACACCAAGTAGATCCCAAAGCTCCGATGAAGAAATCAGCGTCTGACGCCATTAAGAAGTTAACAAGAGGATAGTTCGTGCTCATCTCTCTTCCGAGGCTGGCTTCGTACTCAGCCATCGATTTATTACCTACTTGTCTCGGCACTTCCGTGTAATAGAATCTCCAGTTTTCATAATCCTTACTTCTGTCCACAACTTCCTTCATCTCCGTAGAGAGCCAGATCCTATTTAGCTCAGGAAACCGATCTCTGATCCGATCAGCTAAACGCATATATTCTTCCAAAGCTGCGACTCTCATCTCGCAAGCTTTGTCTCCCATTCGCACGTGCACGCTCAGCATCGGCCTTGGAATCCACGGCTTGTGATTCGACCATACTTGTTCCTCAATCTCTGTCCGAATCTTCTTATTCTTGAGCCATTTTCCTGAGGAGAGAACAATCTCGGCAGCTTCTTTTCCAAAGGCAGAATGTCGGGCAGCGTTCATCAAATCGCAAGTGTATTCTGTTTGAAATCTCATCAAGTATCTCACTGCCTGTGCTCTCCACCACCTCCGGTCCATTTTCCGGTGACCAGAGATTAAAGTTCCGTTGATTTCTGTAGTTGGCTTCATATAACTCCAAGGCGTACCCCATAGCTTTGGTATAGGTCCAGCCCAAATCTTCTTTGAGCTGTAGTTATGTTTCCCTGTAACAATTCCACTCTCCCACGCTTCTCTCTTCTTCATCACGGCAAACGCCCATTTCCGACACTCTTCAGATGTTTCCGGTAGGAAATAGCAAGACCAGCTTCCTCGTGAAGAACCTGCAACCAAACAGAAATCCCAAAATCAGAAATTGCGGAAAATGTGTTTACGTGTGTACCTTTGCAACCATGGTGCTCTGCTCAGAGAAGATATCAAGTTAATGGAATGTTTAGAGGTTAAAAAGATAAACAAATGTGTTTACATGTACCTTTGCACCCATGGTGATCTGCTCTGTTATAGTGATTTGTAACGAGCACTCGGTTTTCGTTTATAGCTATTGCAAGAAGGCCAGTCATTCCAGCGATCTGAGCGCCAATTCCGAAACCAGGAAGTGTCTCCCAATCAGCCACAAGGAAACTCTTGTTTTCACAGTTCAAAGGATGCTGATGAATCCATATCTCACTTTGCACCCTCCTCGTTAATGGATAGTTCTCCTCATCTCCTCCATTGATCTGAAACAAGCTTTTGATCATTCATCATACTAGTAGTTGATGAAAACCAACAAGTAGAAGAAGCATACCCAAGGAGGATGATGTGTACTAGTCCAAGGAGGCAATGTCTCATTCGCTATTTGTCTATCCAAACGCTCCCTAACTCGTGACCTCTCCTCGCAATTCTCCAAATGTGGAGCATTTGGTACATCGGATTTGTTCATCCCTACTTTCTTTAAAAAGTCTTGGCTGTTTAGTAATAAGTTGTCCCAAGCAGAGACCAAAAGTTTCACTTGATCATCATCATCTTCTTCACCTGTCTCAGCTTTGTTCTTCCATTTTAGTTTATGGTCTATGCTTGCAACCATATCTACATATAAAAACTTTAATCGTTACATGAAAACACAACAAGTTACCAAATCAAAACTCAAATTTCTTGAAACTCACTGATTATTTGAGTTGTGGAATTGCATGGAGGAAAAGCAGAGGAGAATGCAGCGAGCTCGAAGGTTCCAAGAGAAGTGAGAGCAGCTAAGAAGAGTGAAGTGAGACAGATTCCACATAGAAACCCAACCACACAGATTTGACATGGAAATGAGTTTCCAAGCTTTAATGCTTTCTCTGAAACCACTCTCTCTAATGACTTGATGCTCATATTACCTTTTGCTTCCATTGCTTTTTCCAACTCTAATTTTCTCTAACTCCAGCTCTCACTAAGAACCAAACCCACCAGTTGTTTCTTCTTTCGTCTTTTACTTCTCTTTGTAACTGAAAATTTTCCCAAGAAAACAAATGATTTTCTTCAGTATTCTTCTCCCTACCTAAGATTTTCCTAGGAAAAGTTTTATAGCCACACTTACCAACTATCAACCAGAAATCACATGATAAGTCTCTTAACTTTTCTTTTTTCCTTTTTAAGATAAAACTTATATTTTGTGGAAAAAAAGAGAGATCAAAATGATTCGATCAAAATATGTTTGTTTCCATTCATCAGTGGTCCATTATCTCTTTTCCTGCAACAGAGAAAAGAACAAAAACATAAGATTAGAGTTTTCAATAAAACAAACCAAACTAACCAAATGAAGAAAAATATACCATCTGAAAGAAGATATAGCTGAATAAGCAAGCACACATTGATTATT